TGCCTACGAGGTCCCCTGACTGGTATTTCTTGGACTGGAGGAGTCACTCCCTGAATCTGCTCTCCCTGTGCAGACATAACTCAGCTCCCAACACGCCAGGCCCCTGAGGGAGCGGTCTTTGCCACAGGACCTGCACACACACACACACATACACACACAGGGAGCGCCTCTGAAGCCACTTCCAACATGGCTGAGAAGCCTCAGCCTCCGCCCACTCAGCATCCTCCACCTCAAGAGTGAGCTACGCCCTGGGCTGCATTGCCAACTGCACCCTGCTGGCCTCTGTCCCACCCCTCCATTGTGCCACAAGGCACCCTGGGGTTCTCCTGCTCAGTTGGGGGTTGCTTCACCCCCACACACTGCAAACCTCTCAAACCCAAGGAAATTTCATTGGAAACTTCTTCTTCATGCCGTATATTTGTTTTCTACGGCTATTGAAACAAATTGCCAAAACCAGAGTGGCATAAACTCTCATGGTTCTGGAGACCAGAAGGTCAAAGTCAAGGTGTTGAAATCCAGCGTGGGCTGCACTCCCTCTGGAGGCTCTGGGGACAATCTCTGCTTTCCTCTTCCATCTTCCGGTCATCACTGGCCACCCTTGGCCATCTTTGGCTTGTAGTGGCATCCCTTCAATCCCTCCTCCATCTTTTCCCTGTGTCTCTCTGGTGTCTCAATGTTCCCTTTCCTTATAAGGACACCAGTCGTTGGATTTAGGGCCCATCCTAGCTGCAGGATGATCTCATCTCCAGATCCTTAACTACAGTGCATCTGCAGGAGTCCTATTTCCAAAGAAGGGACTATTTCCCCGTGCACAGGTACTAGGAGGCAGGACTCAGATGGATCTTTCCGGGGAACACAATTCAACCCGCTACGTGCAATTACAGTGCCAGACACACTCGAAGCTCAAAAGCAGCTTGTTGGCCTGGGTTAAAGGTCACGTTGCACACCTGGTGCTGGGGCATCCTGTGGTCTCGGGTGGGCTGGAACAGCAGCAGGGAATCGCTCTGTGTGTTGGGGCTTCTGAGGGAGCTGGGGTAGTGGCGAAGCTGTCAGGGAGAAGCGGGGGTGTGGTGTGTGGTCAAGGCTGCCTCGGCTCTCCAAGACCCTGAGGATACTGTCTGAAGTGTTTGACGGGGAAGCACACATCCTGGTGCAATGAACACTGGCTCAGGAAGCAACTGAGCAGGGCCATCCAGGTTCTCGGAAGCACACTTCTCCGGGAGATGGGTAACGCAGGGGCAAGGGCCCAACCCGAGTCCCAGATCCTGTTTTCCAAGCCGTATACTATCCCACACTTAAAGAGTGGCCTTGAAGAACAGCCTCCAGTCTCTGGGCATCATCTCTGTGGTGATGCCCTGACTCTGGTGCTACCTGTATCAAGGTTACAGTGAGATCTCCGTGGACCTCCAAGCCTTCACATCCCTGAACCTGAAAAGGCCAAGCCTGCCTCATGTTAAAGGAAATAGCACAAGGACAGCAGCCAGGCCAGGCACAGTGGCACATGCCTGTAATCCCAGCAGGTCTGGAGGCTGAGGCAGGAGGATTGTGAATTCGAAGCCGGCCTCCGCAACTTATCAAGGCCCTGAGCAATTCAGCGAGACCCTGTCTCAAAATAAGACATAAAAAAGGGCTGAGGATGTGGCTCAGTTGTTAAACAGCCCTAGGTTCAATCCCCGGCAGCCCCCTACCAGAGTCTACTCTCAAGCCACACGTGAGTCCCCTCCACTCCTTGGCATGAGCCGTAGCCCACCCTCCCTCCCGTCAGTTACACACATGC